TTCATCTTGTTGTTAAAAGAAGAAGTATAAATATATTTCCTGTTCCGAAGAAGACTGGAAAGGAAGAAAATTTACAGTCAACTATTTCCTCTAAACTAAACAAAATTTTTAAAAAAATCAGTGGAAAACCTAAAGAAACACCATACTTGGTATTTGAAGACCTAAAAATTACGTGCTGCTGAAATATATAGTTATCACATTATTACTTGCTCTTGAAAATCCATATTGCTATGTATCTTGAACTAAGTTCACTTTCTCCTAGAATGAATGAATGAATAAATGAATTTCTCCAGGCTCCCATCTCCTTCACTTTTTTAAAAATAATTCCTCTAATAAAATGTGCATAGCAAGTGGCTGCATCTAACCAACCTTGACTGATTTTGAAAAAGTTAAGCAGGATTGGCAGTAGTGGCCCTTGGATGAGAGCACCAGAAAATCTTAAAGTTGTGAGTTAGATGGAGAAATTCAGAAAAAAATCTTGGAAGAGGACAATATCACAATACATGAAAACGTCCAGCGAGTCATGTGGATCTGAGCTACGCTTGAGGGAATCTTTACATTTGTATAATAGACTTCCCCACCATTTCTGAATATCTTTGTTCAAAAAGGAAAAAAATATTTTACATCTCTATTTTATATGTTAACTGAGAATTAGTGGAGCATGTGTTGTGTTCTAGGAAAGTGCAAGCATCAATCTTCACTAAGTTGAATTTTGCTAAATTTGAAGGATCAATGAATCTTAAAATCTTATACAGGTAGTCCTCAACTAACGACCACAATTGGGATCGGAACTTCCATCGCTAAGTGATCCGGTCATTAAGTGAGTCGGACCTGATTTCACCACCTTTTTTGCCACAGTCATTAAGCAAATCACTGTGGTTGTTAAGTGAATCAGGCTTCCCCCATTGATTTTGCTTGTCAGAAGCCCCCTCGGAAGGTCACAAATGGAGATAGTGTGACCCTGGGATGTTGCAACCATCATAAATGCATGCCAGTGAACGAGCACCCAAAATTTGATCACGTGACCGCAGGGACCCTGTGAGAGTCGTAAATGCAAGGACCAGTCATAAGTCACTTTTTTCAGCACCATTGTAACTTCAAACAGTTGTTAAACGAATGGTTGTAAGTCAAGGACTACCTGTATAAAGCTCTTAACAGTGAAGTTAGGAATTTCCATGAATTATATTGTACTGTATAATATCAATGAGCATCTTTGAATTATACAAAGTTCTTCTATCAGACAGAATGCAGATAAATTGTTCTTTACCATGTCATGTGCTGGGCAAAATTGGCTAGATATGCAAATCTTTGGAGTCTGAAATACTCAGATCAAGATTTCTGCATTTACTGCTGCTATTCTGAGCTTGGCTTGATCAGACCTAGAGCTGGCTCAGTGGAACTTTTTCTCCACTCTTAATAGTCTCCAAATGTGTTTGGTTTCTATCACACCTAGTCAGAATGACACCAGAATAGAGAAAGAAGTTCTAAATAAGAAATTGGACGGTGAACTTAAAATAATTATATATTGTTATTCAAAAGCTATTGCTCAGAGCCTGTATTTATTAGATAGCTCTATTATTCTTAATTGTTCTTTTTCAACCACAAGATTCTTATCTTTAACTCTCAAGAAATACCTTAAAGATGAAATTCTGAACACTTGTACTTGGAAACAAATTCTGTTGTGCTCAATGAGACACTTTGTGTGTGTGTGTGTGTGTGTGTGTGCGCGCGCACACGCACGCCTTTGAGTCAGTTTTTGACTCCTGGCGACTGCCTGGACAAGTCCCTGCAGTTTTCTTGGCAAGGTTTTTCAGAAGTGCTTTGGCATTGCCACC